CTAAAAAGAGTCCCAACCTTTTCTTTACATGAGGTTCTCTCCGGGAGGGGGACCGCCAAGACACTCAGCGCCTCCCTGGCAGTTGTCCCCCTCTTTCCATCCCGTTTCGGTTCCCACCCACCCCTTTACCTTCCGTCCTGATGGGAATAAGAAAACCTGGGTCTCTCGCTGGGTTTCAAAAACCTCTCCACCTGGCTAAGGATGAAAAAGAAACACCCCTCAACAGTGTCCAGCAAGGTGTTTTGCAAGAGCAAGAGAGTCAGGAATGGTTGTCGAACAAGGCCAATGAAAGACAAATGTGACTTTGAACACCCGTGAAAAGTTCTGGCGACTGGCCGGTGTTTGGATCAGTTCTCACCAGCCTGTGTCAGGTTAACCACAAAGCAAGGTGTGTGTGGGGGGGTGTGGACGGGCGCAGGGGGGAAGGAATACAGAGTCAGTGGCAATTCCCAAAGGGCTGCGTGCAGGAGAGGCGCCCCCCTCCACTTCCAAAGGCAGTTCGAGCTGAGCTGAAGGCAGAGAGAGACAAAGACGTGGGTTGCGAGGTGGGGTCTTCCAGCCATGCAGCAGCGCCACCCCATCCAGATGGGTCTATTTGTTAAAAAAAAGTCTTAACTTGGAATTGGGAAGTCAAAGGAAGCTTTGGAGGAGGACAAGATGAGGGGGTTGGGCAGGGGGAAGATACCCCCCATCCCATATCTGAGTAAGCACCGAGGAATTCAAGCTTTCCCACGTGGAGTTTACGCGCTGCCGCCCGTGGTCAGCAGGCAGAAGCCAGGCCGTTCTTGTACAGACGGGGCACTTTCCTTTTGGGTCCTCCGCCGTTGTCGTCTTCCTCCTCCTCCTCCTCCTCCTCATCTTCCGAGGACGAGCTGTCCAGTGTCAAATCCACCACATCGGCTGGGATCTTGCCGTTCTCCACGCTGGGGGCGGGAGGTGGCACCCCATTGACATCAGATGTGCCCCCTGGAAACGTGTGGGGAGAAAGCAAATGCTTACACACTAGTGTAAAAGTAAGAGGCTGGTCCCTTTCACAGATTATTCAACAAGTCAGGAGTGGAGCAAACACACTAGCCATAAATTAAAACTGACACAACCCAGAGGGTGAATTCACACGATATGCTGCCCGGCTCAGTGCCTGATGCCAGCCAAAGCCTCTTCCACCCCAACAGCATCCTCATGTGGCCCTTGTCCTCTTTCCACGTAAGTCTATTCTCCAACTCTCCATGAGGCAAAGCACGCCCGGCTGGATTTCACGTTAGAAAGGGAGGCTTCGGGATCATTTGTGAGAGTTAATGGTGTGGAATCAACAGAACTCCGCTGCTTTCTGAACTCTTGACTTGCAACTCTCTCTGGGCCCCTGGTACAAAGACTCTTTCTAAAAAGATCTGGAAATGCAGAACGGCAGCCCACCCTTACACTCAGGTCCCCCTCAATGAGATGCCCCCACAACCCATCTCAGCTTTAACCAAATTTGTGATCTGCCCCCCAAAGCTCCTGGTCCAGTTTCAGAACTCCTGTTGTAAGAGATGCTAAAAAAAAGAACTAAGTACTGAATTATTTACATCTTCCCCCCAATTGTTCACGCTTTTTTGGGAGGGAGGGAAGGGAAAATACTGTTACTGTTTTTCTATTGCTTCAAAATTTCTGTAAAGTTTCCATCTCCGTTTCCCCCATGAAGGTATTTCAGACAATCAGTGAGAACGCTGGGAGGCTAACTTACAGACCAGATCCTGGAAAGGCCCGTTAGTGACCCTTCCTGATTCGCTGGTCTGTACTTGCCCACAGCAGCACCACCGTTTGAGCTTGCTGTTACTTCAGCATTCTTCTCCCCAGGTGAACCCCCTCTTTTAGCGACTCTAAAGATCCAATGGAAAACAGGAGAAAGCACCAAGAACTCCAAAGTTTTCTGAAGTAAAATAGGGACTTCATTAGGGGCAACATTCTAGGGTGAAATTTAAAAAGGGAAGCAGTTCCCAGATCTACCTGCTTGGAGAAACAACCTCAGATTACCACTGTTAGTGGCTTAAGAAAGGCAGGTAATACTGAAGCTGAAGCCCTTGGTCCACCACGGCCTGAGGCAAACCATCTCACCCCCATGTCTCTGCCAGGTCCTCCCAACCAGAACCACAACCAAGAACTTCTCTTAATTCCCTTCCCCATCTCAGCATGAAGCACAATGGAGGCTCTCCGTCCTTCCTCTGCAGGTAGAAGATGGGAACAAATGTTCAAACTACCGAGGAGGAAGTGCATTTGGACAAAACTACAAGAGTTGGAGTCAACTAGGGGAGGTGACTTTGATGGCCTTTCGGCCCTTGTTTTTTTTTCTTTTTCTTTTTAAGAGCCAAATGCCACCATGATTTCTAGACCCACCTGTGGATCCACCCACAACTAGTATCGGACACTGAGGGCTGTAGCTCCTCTCCTTCTCTGCTTTGATCGGGCGCCAGGAGCCATCCACCAAGTACTCAATTTCATCTGCATCCTCGCATTCCTTTAAGATCTTCGACAGGAGCCTGCAGAGGGAGGGAGAGCACAGCGGGTGATTTCAGACTCCGGAAGCCACAGGCCCGTGTTCTGCCTTCGCAGGAATGGCTTCCACCCCAGAGGGGTTTCATACCTGAAGGAGAGATCACCAACCCAACGCTCATGGATACCAGAGCATCTGATTGCTGCTCCAACCAAAACCAGGAGCCAAATTAATTTTAATTACAATAATCATTTTTAAAACTCTGCAGAAAACTAAAGACTTTGCAAAATGTCAAGGACAGATCACCAAAGTTTTGTGAGATGTGCCAATTCTGTAGGGGCTTTTTTGGGGAGTGGACAAAGCCAGAAAGGACTGTGAACTACTGTATTAGACCATTTATGAAGGCCTTGTCTCCTCCCAAATGAGGTGCTCCTGAAGTGGGTTGGGAGGACACCAGGTGCCTACAAAGTGGATACTGAAGATATTTTTATGTACCTCTTCCTAAAGGAGTTCTAGGCCACACTGGGTATTAAGTCCTACAGGATTAGATGAGGAGTCTAGATCCTTACCCACCACACCCCCCAACAAGCAGAATGCCTCAAAAAAGGTCATGATCAGAGAAGAAGGTAACAGCCCTTAGCCCAACAACAGACACTTTGGACAGAATCTTACTCAGTTGTCAAGGCTATCTCATCTTTGAAAATTACAGAGAACAGTGATAATCTTTTGCAGCAGTGAGTTCCGCATGTTAAACAATTGTGCAAAAAGTCTTACTGGCTTATCCACTCAACCAGGTGGCCCCAATGTTTAATCTTGCACAGGAGATTTCGTAAGAGATCAAAACCCTTCTCTTTGTTCATTCAAAGAGTAATGTTAGTGACCTTGCTAAAACCACTAAACAGCTCCTCACATTTTATCCTCAGAAACACCCTGTAGGGACAAGTTAGACTATTGTTTTCCAAACTTGGCAACTTTAAGATGTATGGACTTCAACTCCCAGAATTCCTGCTGGGCAGAGAATTCTGGGAGTTGAAGTCCACACGTTAAAATTGTCAAGTTTGAAAAACATTGGGTTGGACCAAAGAAAGGAACAGCATACTTCCAAATAACTGGCACAAGATCTTCCAGTGAACTGTACACCCGCCTCCAACCTTAGCCCTCAGAGTCCCATCAATTCCAGTGAACCAACTGACTCTTTTCTGCAATTTAAATGGTGCTTGCAAAAGACAAGCCTATCTCTTGCTTTGGTTTAAATCTCATCTTTGAGAGATGTATTTAAAATTCCTAAAATGGTCAAATACTTTTTGGCCTGCCAAAAAACTTTTGCTCGCCAGTGAGTTTTGCGCACCGATCAATTATATCCACTGATTTCAGCTGTCCTGTGCTCCCCCCGCCCCACAAACGAGTTAGGATCAGGATTACCAATTGATGGCTGACAAGTTATCCCTGTGAATTTATGCAGCCACGCTGCAATCACAGCAAGGATATCACACCAATTGACTACACCCAGAGTGGGCAAAAATGTTTTGGATATGAGTGGCGGGGGAAAGAAAGAGCAAGAGCCCCGCGCGCGTGCGCGTGTCTTTGAGTCAGTCTTGATTCCTGACAATTGTCTGGACCAGTCCCTGCAGTTTTTTAGGCAAGATTTCCGGAAGTGGTTGGCCCCGGCCTTCTTCTTCCTCCCAGGACTGAGAGAGAGGGACTGGCCCAGAGTCACCCAACTGGCTTTGTGACAGGCAGGACTAGAAGTCCTGGTCTCCAGCCTGGTGCCTTTAACCACTACTTCAAACTGGCTCTCACAAAAATGCCTACAGCAATCAGTGTATTATTGAAATCAATTCATCCCCTTCACAATCGGTTGCATGGTATAACTTCAGTTATTAGTAATCACAGTTATAGTGTCATCTTCCTTGCTGCTGCTACAAACAGAGCCCATCTCTGTTTTTTTGTTTTGCTTTTTAAGATTCTGGCTGAAGAGCAATCCTACTATGTAAACGATTTGAGGCTCCCAGAACCCATTTTTTCATCCCCTGCTGTCTTGGCCCTCCTGGGATTCCTGTAATGAAATGACTTGCTTTACATCAGCAAGTAACTGACTCAACTAACCCATCAATCATCAGCTGGTCATATGTGGCTGGTTTGTCACACACCGGACACATCCATGTGGGTTTCTTCTCATTCATCTGCAGATAGAAAACCGCATCGAAGCACTGCAGGTGGGCACAGGTTTCAGCCCGACACGGCACCGACAGGCGCATCTTTACCAGCTTTGGAAGAGAGAAACCGCATGAGAGCCACAGGCAAAAAAATGAATCTAGAATGGCTTCTGATCAAATAAAACTGCTTCTATGAAGGGGTGAAGGGGGTACTCGGCCCTCCCACTGGGAGGTTGGAGCAGAAGTTTAAAAAGTGACTAAGAAACTTGGAGACTGGATTCAAAGACTCAAAATTTCACAGGTACATTTGACACCCATCAAAATAGGTTCTTACCGACCAGCCACCAATGACTGTTGGCTACCAGATCTGCCACCTGGCTTCTTTGCCCAGAAGTGCCCGATGTTAGAGCCCTGCTTTGCAGCGTGATGCTTACCGGGCATATTAAAGATATTCGGACGCCCGTGGTGGCAATCTCACTCTCTGGATCCAGTCGCAACTTCTCTTTGACTGCATTGGTGGGAAGGAGGTCGAGGGGTGTGGAGGAGAAGACAGAATCAGAACCTGAAGTAGCGAGTGCTGTACTTTGGCTACCCCAATTTCCTTCCGAAGATCAGAGAAAAGATGAGTTTCCTTTCCAAAGGCCACATCCGGACAGCCCTGGGTTTATGCCACTTGCAAGATTAACCTGACAGGTTGGTGTCTGAGCAGAAAACCCAGAGCCCATCCCTTCAACCAACCTCTGTTATTTTGTTTATTAATTTATTCAATTTGCATAGCTCCATCTTGCATTTGTGACTCCTGGTGGCTCACATGTTGTGTAAGAACAACCAAACACAACCAATAAATAAAATATGGGGAAACGGTAGAAACACAATAACCCTTTAAGCTAAATGAAAAGCCTAATTAAGACCAACATTAAAATCGAAAAACATAAGAAGCAGGCAAGTGCAAGTCGTGGGTCAATCAGCTTAACCATCTAGCAGGCTCCGCTGTCCCAGCGGAAGGGGCCCCCGCGCCAGCCTTCCGCAACCTGGAGCCTCAATGGGTTGGCCTCGCGCCCACCGAAGCCAAGAGCCACAGGGTTTGGGGGCTAAGAGACGGGAAGCTCTGTGCACCGAACCAACATTTTCAACTGGAGGAGCAAGATGGCTTCTTTTTTTAATTACCGCTTGAGGCCACTGTCTTAAAACAAACTAGTGATTACGTCTCTTCACAGCAGTGAATCTACAAAACAAAGTTGGAACGGAGATTTGATGCAGACGGGGAGACACGTGATCTCTGCAGCAGCCAGAAGCGCCCCCCCCCGCCCCGGATATCTTAAGAGAGTAGCGGTAATCGTGCTTTCTTCCACTTCCTTGACCCCTAACTCTGCTGATATAAGCTCCTAGATACCCCACAGGCTAAACGGAGGATCCAGTTCCAGGGAAAGGGGGCCACTGCGACACAGGACAAGAGTTGCGCCAGCTCACCAAGGGCCTTGCACAGCTCTGGGTGTTTAATCCCGATGGCTTTTAACCGCTGCAACAGCTCTGCCGACGTCGTCTGTCGCACCAGGAAAAGACCCACAGAGTAACTCTGTAAAGAATAGGGGGAAGAAGAAGCATGCGACGTCGTCAGGCAGTCTAAACATCGTTTTTTAAAAACAAAATGATTTAAGCAGCTCTACAAGACCTTCCTGAAGGATCTTGTTAGCCTGACGTTCCTGCGTACAGACACCAGGCTCTCCGGATTTTATTTGAACCTGCCCAACAAAGGGGAGACAGGACCACAGGTGCCAACCTCAAACCGCTTTCTCTTTTGAAGTGTTTTTTCCTAACGTTCAACCAGAAATGTCCTCCTTGTAACTGAAATGCGTTATTCCACTCCCTGGACTCTGGAGCAGGAGAGAAAAGATCTTAAGTCTTTTTCGGCATGACACCTTCAGGGACCTGACAAGTATTATCATGCATCCCCTTCAGGTGTCTTTTCTCAAAGTTAAACCCTGTTCTTTCGGTTTCTCCTTGAAAGAGGGATTTCCAGCCCGTGATTATCTTGAGTGGTTTTACGGATACAACGTGCCCCTTCCATTTCCACACCATGGCTAAAAGCAGCTTTTTATGGCTATCTGAACACAAGCTTTTTCTCTTATTATTACAAAATGTGATGTAGGATTTTTTTAACTAAAGGGTGGTGCAAACATCTTAAGAGGGATTGATCTACCTGGTGATCAGTGTTTCTCCACCCAGGCAGCTTTCAAATGTGTGGACTTCAACTCCCAGAATTCCCCAGCCAG